TCCCCCAACGGGCTTAGTTTAAAGCCCGGTGGAGCAGGTCAGCCAGTCTGGCTGAGAAGAGCCTCCTCCCTAGGGGAGAGAGGTGGAGGCCATCCCTTCCCAGCAGCTCGCTGCCTCTCTCGCCAAAGAGCGGGCTGTGGTCATGAAAGCCAAAGCCTTCCTGACGACACCAGCGCTGCAGTCTTTGGTTGACCACATAGATCCTCCTGTCCCTTCTCAGCCCATAGCCTGAGACTGGGAGGATCGACTAGAGTTCGAAGAGACTTCATCGATCTGGAGCTCCATTAATTCCATGCCAAAACAGATATAACCCCCACTTAATGCTGTTTTGCTTAACACTATTTCGCTATAACACTCATTTTAAATTGATACCTGATTTCACTTAGCGCTCAGCGAGTTTCGTTACAACACTAGTAGTTGCTATCTTGGGTCATTAAAAACACTTGCGGTTGCCATCTTGGCTCATCAAATACTTTCTGTTTCACTTAATGCTTGTTTCGCTTAACACTCGGTTTTTCAGGAACCAATTAAGAGCACTAAGTGGAGGTTGCCTGTATGTCAAAATTCCTTCTCTGTATTTCTGTGGTTTCTAGATGATTTTTTATTTTAAAACCATAGAACATTCATTCATAGTTAATGAATCCTAAAATCATCAACCTAGGCAATTTAGTTTAAGAAAACATCCCACAGTAACAAAACTAGGAAAAAAAATATTTTTTTTAAAGTGTAAGTGCACTTGCTTACCTGAGGTCGATCAACCATAAGAAATGCATAGGATTCAGCAAGCTCTTTTTCAAGGCGACCATCAAATTTCAATTCTCTGCGCTTTTCTGTGAACTGTTATCAAACAAAATCTTAATACCTATACAGAATAAAACTAGTGTTCTCATGTTCAATGCCATCTATCCTGAAGTTTTGATACGAAACACACTTCCCAGGTACAAGATTAATGACCACATCATTCTGCTCTCTCCTTGATGCGGAGTTGTAACAAAAAGCAGCATTCAACTCAAGGCCTTGGATGTCCTTTTGGACTTGCAGTCTAGATACATATCTAGCTGTTCAGGAACTAATCTCTAGTTCTTACCCACAAACTTCTGTACCAGTTTCATTTCTTAAGTACTTTACACTACTATCAATTCTGGTTTTAATTAATTCTGAAACCGCAGTGTATTTATAGAGTCATACGCAGGCTTACACTGGACCCATTGTTTTATAATGAAAGTGAAAGAAAAAGAATGCCTTACATACATTTAAAAAAAAGGAAGGGATGCGGGGCAAAGGCAGCAACAGCAATGCTCAGCCCTTGCTTTCATAGGGGCCAGGGGCTATGCACCATCACTCATACCCTCCTACTGCTGAATTAAGTTTGAAGCGAGGGAGAACAGCAAACAGCAGCAGGCTCTGGAGTTGAAAACAGGGACTCTGGGAAGACCCTGTGCAGGTGAGCTCCTACAGCTAGTATTGCATGTAGCCCTCCAACAGAAGCTTTGTTGACATGTCTCCTTTTGGCTGTAGGGCATAGGCACAATGTGCTGTCTTTGCCGTGCCGCACTACTGAAGGGGATGTGGCAGCACACCAATTACCACAATCGTAGATCTCCCTACGGTGGGAAACAGCACTGGGTTTGGGACTAAGGATCCTAGGCTGCTTTAAATGATCAGCAGGGATCTGGGTTTTCCATTTCCCATGGAAAAACAGAGGAAACCATGGGTTTCTCCTTTTAGAAGAGAAACCTGTAGATTCCCTGCTTTTGCAAACAGCTTGCAGGCTGGCTGAGCTCTAGCCTGCAAGAGCTCTTTGCAAACAGGGTAAGAAACCCCTAGCCCTGCCTGGATGGGAAGGGAAAGGGCAGAGCCTGAAACTCATGTCAGCCATGGCTCTGCTTGGCTCAGCTCAGCCTCGCTCTTCTCCTGGAGCCTGGGATAAGTGGGGCTTGCAGGGGGCTGGAGCAGTGGCAGAGCCAGCTCCATTCAGCTTCTGCTGCCTGCTGTGAGGGTCAGGGAGCTGCAGACTTGGGTCCCTGGCCCCATAGCCCTGGCAGATGGGGGCCCCTCCAGCAGGCCTGGGGGGCAAGGGCTGTGGATGGGAGGCAAGAGTAGGGTGGGGGGGACAGACTTTGGGGGCAGTGAGAGGCACCAGCAGGGTTGGGGGGTGCTGCTGGGGGCTTTTCAATTTTAATAATGTATTTTGGGATTTTTCAGAGAATTTGCAATTTTTCGTCAGAGTTTGCAATTTTTTTAAAATCAGAAAACCAGGATCCCTGATGAGCAGGCAAAGGGCAACTAGGTCTAGACCCAGGATTTCCCATACCCCATCCCAAAAATGAAGTGATTATTCGGATGGGGCATAGGCACCTCAAGTCCAGATATACCTGCCATACATTCATTTCAAGGTGCAATACAGACTAGCGAGAAAGGTCCTACGTAAGTGGAACACCTTTTGTGGCTGGTTTGCCATTGTATTACTCCATAAATTGGTTCAGTGTGTGGCACTGCACTATGTAGGGCAAGATCAACACATAAGTTGTTCCATATATGTAATATCTGCCAGAAATCAAAAATTCCCTAAGCTGATTTTAAATAAGCTTACTGTAATTTTATATACACACACACACACAGAGCAAATCTGGAAATCGTGATTTTTTTAAGAGATCAGCAAGTCCTTACACACAAGCATCTAAGAAACTGAAATGTATGATTTGATGTGTTTGGCTTAGTGTAAACATCACAGGAGCTGGGCAAAACTTTGAGAAATTGTTTAACTTGCATCATATTCCTGGAGGATAACCTATAGGTACTCACCTCCTTTTCCAACAACTCGCTATGAATTAAGCTGGCTCTTTTGTAATTGAAATTAGCCACTGAACTTGGCTCCAGGTAAGATGAATGCAGGATTTTCACAACATCTTCAAACTCTCGAGAGCCCATAGCTATTGGCTGAAAGAGTGCTATACAGAGAAAAGAAAGTCAGTATCAATATACGTTTGAAACCTCTAAACAAAGTTGTCATTTCACTGACAGTTTTAAAAGAAAGTAATTAGTTTAATGGATCATGAATTATTTTAAGTGTCATGTATTAAAAGAGCCTCAAAAGATGGGATTTAGGCTACAGACTTTGTGTTAACAGCTGCCTAGAATCATACATATCAGTAACTGAAATCCACCCCCTATCACTATTTATTCCTGAGCAAGCTGCTGAAATTTAAGGAAAGAACAGCATTTTAATTTTAATATACTCACATGAAAATAGATATATACACTTCAAAAGAGGCTTTATACATTTCATTTAAAAAAAAAAAATCCCCAAACTGATTTTGTTTTTGTAAGAATACAAGTTTCATATTGCAACTTCTCTTGGAAAAGGTTGTTAAGTTTCATCCAGCCACTCTGAGGTTGTCAGTATTTAGCCTACTTACCACGGCAACAAGCACTTATTACTAAAAGAGAACATAGATGCAGCTATGCATTTTTAAGCTTCAGTTGAAGAGAATTTAAGACTTCTCCTAACATAATTCAGGGCCATCCATATCAAATACATGCATTACAGGGTCAGGCAAGGTTATTTGGGTAAATGTGATACCTTTTATTAGATCAACTACCTAGTTGGAAAAAAAGTTATTTGCAAGCTTTCGGGCATAAACTGTGTGCATTACACGGTCACACAAATGGCTACTTCAATATTCCTTTTTCGCCAGTTCTCTTCCATAAATTCGTATAGGAGTCTCTTTCCTACGGTTTCAGCTTTTGCCATGTGGCTATTCTTGTCCACCCCCTCCTCAATTTTAGCTATGCGAGGCCAAAATGACCAGTGGAAAACAAGAGAGTATGTGGCAGCAAATGGCTGACTTGCTAACTTGATGACTGCCAAATTGGGCTCTATTTCAAGATGTAGAGGACTGGAGCTGCATTTCTGAGAAATCTGTAGTTCCCTGTAGCAAATGCTTTACCTCAGACAACTTCTAAAACAAAGAGATAAGGAGCTTTGTTATAGAGGTCAAAAGCTCCATAAAGTAGGTAACTCAAGCCTCTGAGGTAATCTTCCATCCTTTCTACTGCTGCCTTCCTCCCTCTCTCCAAAAAACTATATGAAGCATATGTTTCTGGACAAACTATAAAAATCACATCAGACAACAGAAAATGAAGAATAATACTAAAAAAAGACATTCTGGTCTAGCATCTCAGTAAGGGGCTCCTTACTGGTATAGTAAAATCCAGAAAGGTAAGGAGGATAAAAGTTCATTCACTACCAGAGCAAAATGTTGCTATATTTTTCTAGTATAATATAAAGTGACTGTGCAAGGCTGAGAAAGCCATATCTGCCACCACTCCTAATACCATCATCCATATTTTAAGATAAACATGCTATATTTTGCTTACCAAAACCAAGAAAGCGTTAAAGATTCTATAAATATGGGGCTAACACCAATCTTTTCTTTGTTTTTTTTGTGGGGGGGGGTTTGTTTTTTTTTTTTAGTGTGCAAGAGGTACTCGAGTTCTACAGTCCCACTACTTCAAAGTAACAAGTACAACTTCATTTACAGATGCCAGTGAGGAGTAAGGACATTTACTATCACAATATTTATGGTAAAGCAATTAGGTCTCTCCTAAAGATGACTTTATAAAATCAACTGCTGAATTTATTTGTACTGCAATACAGTATTAAAAGCCACATATTGGAAAGAGAAAAAACAGTTATTTCCACATTTGTAAAAGGCCTCAGATATTCAAAATTTTTGGCAAGGTGTCTCTCTAAATTGAAGTAGTCAAGAATGACTTCCTATTGAAAAAATTAAATGTAGAGTCATTTTTTATTTTTTTTTAAAGACAACTGATGCTTGTATTAACTTTCTTCCATAGATGTTAGAGAATTTTTCATACCCCTCTACAAGCATATGATTACTATTCAAAATAGACTTCTATTGAAAAAAGTCTAAAGTCTTCCAGCAGATACAGAACATGTGGCTCTTGCAGCTGCCTAAGCTGATTATCTATCATCATTTGAACTTTTAAGATCTATGTCATTGTAACTGTTGCACGTGAAAATAAGAGCTGCTTGCAACATACATACAAGTAAGGTGCTGGATATTAATCCTAATTAAATGACTGGTTGGCTATGCCATAGTTATTTGTATAACAAAGGACTCAGAAGTAACCATGTGGTCAGTGTTGCCATTCTGGTAGGTACAATACAGATGCTTAAGAAACAAAACCAAAAACAAACTAGTCCCTGCCCAAAGAACTCACATTCTAGCTTTAAAACAAGAGAGGTCATGGTTTCTCAGCAAAGAGAAGAAATGGAAAAAGGAAAGTCAGGATAACAGGTTCCCTCTACTACACACCCTATATGGAGAAAAAGATCAAGAAAAGAAGTTCTAACATAGCAGCCTAGCAAATCAGCATAAAAAAAATCTTTGATATATTTTGATTTGCCCAATTATAAAGACTCAACTGTGTTGTTTAGTATATTAAAGCTGTTCCTACAGGTTCAGAAATAAAATACTGGGAAACTTCCATGGCACCTATTTATCAAGTTAATCTGCATGAAGAGAAATTTGATTTAAGATTGCAACATCTATTGCTTGATGATCTCGACATGCAATTAATCTGAGAATCTGAGAACCTTCTCACAAAACATGGTGTTGCACTCAACCATTTAAGATCTATTAGGATTTTATTTAGACTGCATTTGTAAGGAAGACTGGCCAACCCCTTTGCATAACTTTAATTATGCAACACTGGGTGTCACATTCCCTCAAACATTAAAATTACTGAGTTCCCAGGGTAGCTTTTATGTACAACTGTCTAAGAACTTGCAAAATTACTTAAGAAAGCATGCCCACAAATGACATCAGTGTGTCATCCATGTCTTAAGTGAAAATTTGAAAAAGACATACTATCATGTACACTGAGCTCTTGTGAACTTTATGAATTAGGTGATTCATTTGTGTTTACTTACTTCCTACTGTATAATGAAAAAAATTCAAAGAATGATTGGAAATTGGTATATTTTCTAGAATGCAATTTCCTGGCAGGACTTAGCTTCCATTTGGAAGTATGGCACTGGCATTGAACAACTGTGTATCTAGCGGCAAAAGTATTTTTGCATGCTCTGATACCACTGTCTAATACCTTTTACTATGGTAAAAATCTAGAACTCTGAAAATTGAGACTGAGTTTTTGATAGTAACTGAGATTTTCAACAGTTCTGGCTGGGAAGGTCTTGTTTGTTTGAATTTACTGAGGAAAAGGGATAAAGTTTAATAAGGAGAGAGCGACAGAGACAAAACAGCATGGACTCAAGAATACACTTTGGACTAGTGTTATTAGTTTAATACACATGTTCAGAGAACATTATCCAAAGCAAATTAAAAAAAATGTGGTTAAAATAGAAAATAGTCAATATAACCTTGGGAGTAAATATAGATCGAGGGCAAGATATTCAAAAGCGACTTGAAATTCTGGGTTCCCAATTTGAAGACTCGACCCTTAAGCTTGGACTATAATGTACTGTAAACTTGAATTATGCATGTCACGCAAAGAAAAGGTATAATAAAAGCTCATCTGATCTGGATAGAATTTCATTAATTCAACAGGTAATATCCTCTCATGGCAAACAGGGCTCTTTTGAAAACTAATTCTGTAGAACAAAGTGAAAAAATTGAACCATGTACCCCTTTAAAAAAAAAAAAGAAAAAGAAAAAGGGTATCTCCAACCAGTTTCTTGGGGAGGGGTGACAGCAATTCAGTATCACCAACAGTTGCTTAAAAAAGTCCTTGTCAACCGTGACATTTCAATAAAGCCTCGTTTGTGCTTTTTGATTACAGGAGGAGGAGGAAGATGCGGTAGCACAAAGACCAAAATATTATAGGATCTGTTGCTTGGGATTGACTTAAGTTAGAGCCAAAGTATTTTAAAATTCAGGATGCACATCTCTTCTGACTATATGGTTTTCATATCGTGTCCAACTAAGTAGTTGTTGCAATTACAGAACAGTATTTCCAGATCCTGCTGCTTGCCCCACCATGTGTGAAGGTATTTATATAAGAGACACTTATATTCTTGGTTTCAGAAGCAAATATGCAACTTAGATGTGCTGGTCACGCAACTCCTATTAAAAAAAAGCCAGTGAATCACTGATCACATGCTGGGAGTTAAGTTGTTATTTTTGTAAAGGAAAGAGCAAGTAGGAAAACCCTATTCAAGGGAACCTGCCATTTTGAAACTATAAATGCCATTTTCTTAGATACCCAAACACAGGAAAAGACTAAGCTTGAAAGGAATATAAAGTTAGCTAAAATAAAGATGAAAAGCAAAAATTAAAATTAATTGCTTCACATATCCATGGCACCTATGTGTAGTAAATTTAAGGTTTCAGGTGAATCTTCTGATGTTTTGATACACTGACCAAATAATTTATGAAAAAATATAAAAAGAACAGATAGTCAGATGCCAAATTTCTCCTTTGAAGTACAGTTCCTCTACCAAACTAAAACTGTAGTTCATGATATGCAAGTCTGGCTGAGCAGCTTTACATATGCTGAATTCAAACACTGTAGGACCTTTAATAAGGACCCATAAGCAATCTAAGAAGCTATTAAGAGCAAAGAATTTGAGCAATTAGACTTGGGAAGGAAAAATTCCATAAAGTATCATTTACTTCAAGGATGCTATTGATAGCCATCAAGTTACATATTCACATAAACAGCTTACTTCGGGTCTCTGATAAGCTCAGGGAAGAACATGAGTGTATAGTAACCTGAAAAATTTTTCCACCTTATTTATATTCTCTGTAGTAGTTTTTATCATCTATGCATTTTGACGATGAAAGTGAAAAGACAAATTTATAATGTGTTTTGGACATTTAAGAAAAGTATTAGAAGTTGGTGCACTTTGTTTGCTGGAACTATTAAACAAAAGTATTTTACTAGTATAGAGAGAAGCTAAATAATGTATTATATTTGTTAGAAAAATAGAAAATTTAAATAAGATATGATATGCAGCTACTTTAAGGTTAGGAACTAAATACCAAATCTTTGTCGGCTCTCTAAGGACAGAGCGCAGCTTAACAATGTGCAGAAATAACCATCAGTCAACTTCCAACTCCACAGCAGCTAAGTGGTCATCAATAAACAATAGATCAGCTAGCTTATTTTTTGATTCATTACTTTCCCAGTCACGAAAGCGCTACTTTTTTGTGGGATACTATGTTCATCTCAAGTAAAAAGATCTATCTATCTATCTTCAAGATTCCAAAACAGAGAAGTCTCTCTTCTTATCGGATCAGTAAAATTAGAACTGATACTGCTCTTCAGAGGAAGAATAGTGCTCTTTACATCTGCGTGAAGTTGGCTTCCTAGTGAGAGATCATCAAGAACGATACGTGGTCATGAAGGTTTATATAAATACTTGAGCTTGTATTGCGAGATGACTCACCTCTCCCAAGTTCCAATTTGGAAGTTGCACAACCAATCTCTCAAATAGAAAGAGCAACTAGTGAACAGAACATAGAAACTACCCTGAAATTTAAGACGAATACTAAGATACCTCCTGAACGTAGTTGTCTTTGCTTACTTAATATTACCTGAACCAACTTAACCTTCCAGCAAATGCTATGGTATCTTTAATGCAAGTAAAATAAATGAGACCTTAATTTTGCAGTAGTGGCACCTCACTATAAATAGGAATTCAGGAAGATACTCAAGCCTGTACCTCATCTTAAACATATGAGCAACCACACTGAAGTCAATGGGACTACTCAAGCACATGATTAATTGTCACCTTACATGAGGTAAATATTGAAGTCAGTTGGTGAGGCAGGGAGGAAGATATGGAAGCCAGAACAATGCCTGTCCCCTTTTTCAAGTACCTTCTTTGTTTTTTGACTTGGGCAAAAGGCTTCTCAAAGAACAGCTCAGGTCTGCCCAGGACAGCCAGGAAAATGTGACTAGGTCACACTACACATAGGCATGGCAGGAGGCCATACAACACTATTTTATGAACAAAGGAGAACTACATTGCTGAAAATAGCACCAGGCCTGTTTAGGAACAAAGATAGAGAAAAATGCTTATATACATTTTTAAGGAGGAAAAGCTTCAAGTAAGATTCCCTGAATTCTCTCTAAAAAGGAACATAAGGAATAAATAAGAGGAAGATGCCTTCTGCCACTTCCTAACAATTAAAGAAAAGCACAAAGGTCCTCCCCAAGGAAGCTAGATTCCTCAGAGAGGCATGATATATGATCTCTGAATACGCTTCAACTCTAGTTTGAGATGATCAAGTCAAAACGTTTTAACTCTCTGGTCTATAAAGATTGTGCCGATATCGTATTTCACTTGATCTTAGTAATTGAAAAAGCTATTCCCAACTTTAAAAGACTCAAGAAGTTGGTCAATTCCAAGGACTTTCCTGTATTTGGTATGAGAGAGAATTTTCCAAATTCTATGCACGTTATTAAAGTTGCCTCAGCCCCCAGAATGTACTAGATCTTTGTGTCCTTTTTAAAATAAGGAAAAATCTAATGATGATTTAACTGAAAATGTAACTTCATCCCTTGAGGACTCTAGAAAACTTTATGGATCGTAACTTAGGACTCCCTAAATGAAAAAGCAGCTACCTCTGCAATGTAAAACAGGAGCTCTTTTACGCAAACAATACAACAGGACTTTTGGAGGGGAAGAAAAGAATACCTTTCCATGGAAGCTACAGAATTTTTATTATTATTTGGTGTTGACCAGTATTCAAGTTTGGAATCTGGCCTGGGCAGCAATGCCAATACTGTTGCCCTTCCAGAAGAAGGCCACTTCTTTATTTCCACCAAGCATTCGGGATCTTGGTTTCACAACTAATCTAAAATGAAAGTGTCAACAGTGTTTTGGCCATCACATTATACTACAAGACTAATTTAAAATCCATTTCCTATCACTTACTAATTTATAAACATCTCTAACACACTCAAATTGGGTCCTTGGGAGTCACACACCTGCTTACACTTTTGTTACAGCACTAATCAACAAGGATCAAAATATTCGATATTTTGTAACAGCATATTAATGCCAATGCCAAGCACCCCTGGGCACTATCAAACCAAAGTAGGCACATGATGGAATGGAAAGATACATTTTTTTCCAAGGTTCCAAGGGATTCCTTAACAGCAAGCGTGATTAAAAATAGTTTCTTGAACAGTAGTTTAAAGATGTAATTCTAGTACACTAGAATTCATATCCATAAGAATGCAGCCAATAGCCTTGATGTCAGCAAGTTACTTTGAAAAAAAATTTGATTTGTATAGTCTCCCTCTCCACCTGAAAGGAAATGATTGAAATCCTAATGATCGCAATACTCAAAAACCTAGGCTGGTTAAAGTATTAGCGTATACACTGTAAGAAACAAACAGTCCTGCATAGGCAGAAGATGTACTAGATGAACTTAAAGTTTGTCTTTTCTAGTTCTAGTTAATATTTCATGTTTCGTTTGAATTCACAGTGGAATCAAGTCTGCGTGATTTTTTTTGGTTTTTTTTTTTTTGGTTTTTTTTTTAAACAAAAATGTAATTATAATAATTTTATTTGGCCTTGGGATAGCAGAACTACAACAGGTGCCATGTTTTATCCAGACATTTGCCATCAGATGAACATCAAGAGGCCATGACATCATTACTCTAAGTCAACTTGCACCTTTTTACAACTAGTCTCTGCTAGCTCCATCTTCATGTATTTTTCCTGAAAAATTACTTACAGCTTCAAAATTGGGGAAGAGTATAATGAAATAAACCTACCTTTACTTCCTCCTTATAGAAGAAAGGTTGTTTTTGTTTGTTTTTAAGAACTAAGTAAAGTTAAACATCTTCTTTGAAGAATGAAGAGCTTATAGGAAAATGTAATGTGATTTTAAGTATAGAAACTGACCTCAAGCTCTAGGAGGTCAAAGATGGGGACATCTTTTGGGCTGGGAAGGAGGAGGAGCATGCCATACATAGATTTTCCTCTCAAGTTAACAAAATACAAGGCAAGCAGAAACTAATGGTGCCCTTCAGAAAGTGAAAGAGATACCACTAGATTTTAGAGAAAAGCCATACAAAAAAAAAAGACAACAAACAGAAAACAAGGGAAAGGAAAATCAAACCAGGAGACTCAGACAAGTAACACTCCCAGCAGGAGGCACGTGAATGTAGACTGCCCCCTTCCCTCCTGCAAAGAGATGGGAAGCACAGGAGCCTTCAATGAATAAAGGAAGAACCAGTCTTCCCTGTGTGGAACTACGGGGAAGCAGTCACCAGCCTCCCCCAAACATGGATGCACGGCTCTCCTGCGGAAAGAGGAGGAGGCGGGGGCAAGAAAGGAAGAGAACCATCTTCTGGGGCTGCCCGCGCGTGTCCCGCAGGCGACCATCTTCTCTGTGTGTGCGTGCGCGCGCCTCGCACGCGTCCAGCCCCCCCCGGTCACGGCATCCAGCCTGTTCGGCTCTTAAGCCTCCGTGTCTCCCATTCCAGCTGCCATTGGGTTTTCGGAGGAGAGTGGAAAAGCCTCTCCTGAC